TTATTTTGGGAAAAACATATTTCTAATTTCTACAAAGCACCTTTGAACAATTAAACAAAATAAGTTTTGTCACAAAAAATTAAAATGAATGCTCACATTCTGGGCTCTCTGCCTTAAAGAAAAACACATTATTCACATTATCTTATCTGTGATGAGACCAAAACCCAGGTACGGTATAGTGCCAAAAATGTGACAGTGAATCTTCAAGCTTATTTTCTAGTAAGACAGAGGAAAGTCATAAGGAAAATAAATTTAGACTGTAAAATTCAAACCTGGCATATATTGATTTTAAGACTACTCTTCCATTTCTTTCAAATGAACTGATACCAACAAGGTCTCAAAAGCTTAAACTCATGAACTAAGTAGCATCTTTCTAGTTTTAACTAGCAACAACCACATTCACTAGGCTTGCAATAAACAGGTTTTTCCTGAACTATGTTGGAGCAATGTGCTAATCATATTCCATGGCTTCTCTGAAGACAACAACAACAAAAAAAATCAAAAAACTTTACCCCAGAATTAGTTTCAATTCCATCAGAAAAGCAATTAAACTTAGTTAAAAGGCCCTCTGCAAAGAGGGGAAATTTATATCGGGTAGGCTTTTTTCCAGTATCTCAATTCTGCTAGAGCTAGAACCAACCAACTCACACTTTAAAGTTAAAAAATAAGTCTCTTCCCTTCTAAGTCAAAGAAAATGTAATGAAGTTGCATGTTAAACAATATTAATAATTCACCATGAATTTCAGAACTGCAACACTGCAGCAACTTGTTGTTTACAAACATAAGACGCAGCATATAATTTGGAGGATCCATATACTGACAAAACTAGGAGAGTTATTAAAGTGACACGAATTATTTGCCTAGTTAAGACAATTTAACACATCAGTGGTGCTAGTGTCTAAAGTAAGAGCATATGGGCTCCAAGTAAAGTCCTAAACTATTTCCCTATCAATCAAGTTTTAGGATAGTCTTTGTGACAAACATACTGGTTTTTTTTTTTTTTTTTTGCTTACGTCCTGATTCTCAGCTAATGAAGATGGGAACATAACTGAGCTGCAGATAAGAAGGTGTCAGCCTATATACTAGGCAATTCTCCGTCACTTTCCTTTAAGGACAAAGATCTAGGCACCCCTCCAAAGAAGTGTTATATTTAAATATAATTATTGGCAGGTGCCCCAATATAGTATTTGGTTTGGACATCAGAATTCCAAGATGTGTTTGGCAGGACAGGCAGGATTTTTTTTTTTTCCCCTTTAATGTAAGAGTCAAATTATGCTTGTAGTCACATGAATATGGACCTTGTTTCTTCATTTTGAAATCAGGTCAATAAAACCAAATGTCACAGGGTTGAGAAATCCTATATAGGAAGTGAAATCACCTATGTGAAAATGCCTAGACCAGTACTTGATATATAGTATGTACTCAAAATTAAAACAAAAGTGTTGACTTGAATATTATTTAACATTTGAAGTTGATAAATAAGTACATTCTATTATTTTCCACTTTCAAAACTCTATCTACAATCAGCTTTTGATAATCATGTATCACTGTAAAATTTTTCCTTTCATCTTACATGCTTCTGGAAGGCATTTCTTTCCCCCACACCTCCATATTAGGATTATGTGAAGACATACTGTAGTATAATAGTTAAGAGCTTGTGTGTGAATAATAATTTCTACCTCATAGAATTGTTGAATGAATTAAATGAGTTAATATATGTAAAACACTTGGAACACAGTAGGCACGTTAGCTGTTATTAAATGCATATTAGTTCGGCTGTGTCTAAAAACAGGATTGGAGGCATTCCATCTGAATTCATGTAAAGAAATTTTAAGCTAAGCAAAAGTAACTTAGAAACAAATTTTAATACAAAAAAATTCCCAAAATAAAATGCTTTCCCATATCAGTTATTGGGGGCTTATTCGCATAGTCGGAATCTCTGCTCATGCTCAATAAACATGGATACAAGGGAATGTTGAATTGTACCAAAAAAATTAATTTAAAATGTTATCATTAATTTTAATTACTGCATGTACCCAAACCTGCAGTAAACAAAAGTAAAAATCATTCTGGTTCATTTCAAATTAAAATAAATGTTGTCCAGTACCAGTTATACTTCAGGTAATTGATTTTCTTTTAATATAACAATACCATGCTACCTTAGATTGAATACCAGTATTACAATGTAACCATGTAAGCTCTATACTGTAATGTCTGTGGCATATTTCAAGATCTCTCTATAACACCTAAGAAATTCTTTTTAATGGCAATTGAAATTAAATTGCTAATATCTATAAAATTTCTTTCCTAAAATTAATAGTGTTTAAGTTATAAATTTAAATAAGACAGGAGTGTTTAGAAAGAAGAATGTGGATTGTACTTGCAACAGTTCAGCTAAATTTCACAGTAGGTTACTTTAGAATCATAAGGAGCCTCAGTGATGACCTAGGTCATACCCCACATTTTATGAAGAAACTGAGGCCTCCAAATGCTGATTCAGATAAAGCCAATACCACAACCTAGCTCCCGGCTCCCAGTCAAATAAATGTTTCTCCCTTTTTTTTTTCAGATCAAATTTAACCAAGTTATTCATATCAACTCAAAAGGGTACTTTTTGCCAAAAAACTAATTCAAAAGAATTATTGTTTAAAAACACACACATACTACAAAAAAAATTGCATTCATTTAAGTAAGAACCACAGTAGTCAGTTTACTTACTTCTTATGATTTTTCCAAAACCCAATTAGGAGTTTCTCACCACAGAGATTTTTTCAAATCACTTATTTCTCTTGTGACTTTCAAATCACCCCCTTGCTAGCTCTCTCCTTGTGCTCATGCTCTCTCTCTCACTTTTTCTCTCACACACACTCTCTCTCTTCCAAGTGGTGGGGATGGGGAGCAGAAATCAGCAATTTACTTTGTAATCCTACCACTTTTGAGCCAGATACATTAACCCCACCCTTTTTCTATCCATAATAGACAGGAATTCTAAGTGAAGAGTTAGTTTCTAACAATATCTTTTGGTATCAATCTTATTCTATTATTTCATAAATCAGCTTAATTAGTCTCCAAAGAAACTGTCTGATCAAAAAGATTTCACACATTAAACACATTCAATTAGCACAATAGGAAAAAATATTAATATACATATTTTACTCATTTTCTGGACTTTTCATTTTCCCAAAGCAAATTTTTATCAAAAGGTACTAAGTTGAGAATGGGAAACAGACCATGAGGTCACACAAATTCATTCTGTCAGTGTATAGGAGCAAAATAAGATAGAAAAGTATCTTCAGTTCTGAGGTAAATCTTAATCCAGTTAAATGTATAAAATGCCATCTTGGATTTTTAAAATTAGCTACATAGGAATAATTCATAAAAGTTATCGTTGTACTAAATTTCCTTTAAATTTACATTCAAAAGAATATCAAAAGCAACTTTTTAAAAATAGACTTCACAAAATTGTCAATGTCTGAAACAGCATTTTACTTGACCATTAAAGCAGCAATTGCTCTTCAGTTTGAGTAAAAACTCTTTCTAAAATCAAATGCCAAAAGCTTTTTGAAAGGCAAAAAAATCATTTTAAAAAATCTACATATACCCAAACATTTTAAGCTACACTGCACCTGAATCCTCAGGGAAGGAGTAGATATTTAACCCCTTGGAATGACACAGGGGTCTCATGACAAACTTCCCGCACCCTCAACAAATTACTAATTAAAAAAGGTAATTCTGCTTGTACTAACATCATATTTGGGAACACTACAACTATTTTGTAATCTTTTTTAGCTCTTGTAGAAAAATTTCTCAAATAATCCTCTAGCTATAGCACATGAGTATATACACACATGTATGTATACATATTTTGAATTTTTTGTTTTTTTAACCTAGAATTTGTACTCTTTCTAGCAGTGTGCTCTTGGGTAAGTTATTTTTCTTTCTGATACTCAATTTCCTCATCTGTAACATGGGGATAATAATAGAACTTACCTTGTGGGGTGGTTGTGAGGACTGGATTCAGTGTTAGCTTATTACCCCCTATAAATTTCCTAAACACATGTAAACGATCATATCCCCAAGTATATAAATTTAGTGGGGCATCTGATGTTTAACTAACTATGAAATTCCCTTTATCTTATTTGTATCAACTAAACTAGCTTCTCAATAATTCAAAAACATCAAACAATGACTCTTGCCAGAATAAGGATATACTGGTAGCAAAAAAGACAAGTGATCTTTCCCTAGATCTATTTTTAGGAACAGTTTAATTATCTACAACCCCTAGTGTTAACACTGGAAAATAAACAAATGGGTGAAAGGCACAGAGTCACTCTGAGATCAACAGTTTCATAGTATTCAAAAATAAATGGGAATGAAAAAGACATTTAGATTATTTCTCTCTCACTAGTAGTCCTTACTGACATAAAGTAGGCCAGAATTTGCAGAGATTTAAGAGGAATTGCCAAATTGATCAGACTGTGCAGACTTCAAGGTTCAGAGAGGTTAAAATGTAACCAATGAGAAAACTGTAATTGGTGGTTTTCAGTGAATCACTACTTTATAGTGTCGAAAGAATTTTTTTTAGTTATTTAGTTACTTCATATGGGCAGAAAACATTCATTAGTTTCCACAATGAAATATACTTACATATATATTATTTATTCTCATCTAAATAAGTAGAGAAAAACTGACCCTGATTATCTTGTCAGGCAAGAAAGATATTACAGTTAATAATTCTGACATCACTAGCTACCTGGTATTCATAATTATCAATGGCAAGATTATGGCTACGATTTAGAAAATTGTAAAAGAAACAGATAAATATTTTGTACCAAATTACACTCCTCTCCTGCTAAAATGAGGTCTGGTAATTGATTCATTTTCTATCTAAGAAGTGCTCTGATGTGAATAAGGACAATTCAAACTCTTTAGTTACACAGATATTACACCATGCTATATTTCCTTATTCATCTTAATCTATTAATGGAACATAATCTTACCGGAAAAGGAAAAATGTTGTCAGCCCTGTTCAAGCTATCTTCCATCCAGGATTTAGGAGCAAAGGCAGAGCTGGGCCGAGCATACTTCTGAAGCTGAATATGATTGCTTGCAAAATTTTTCTTCAAAGGCGAGATGGAGTTCAGGGGCGTTATTCCACCATTCAGCCCTCTGCGGTGATCTCGGCCTTGGGAACCTCCCCAGCCACCATATCCACCACCTCCTGGGCTCCAGGAAGAAGAGGGTGTTGGAGAGGGACTCTGGTAGCTGCTCCATGGAGAGGGGGGTTTGTTAAGATTATTCGCCAAATGAGGCAGCTGGTTAAAAGCAGCATTTCTATGTGTGAAGGGTGGGGGATGGGGACTGGCAGGAGACCTCCTTTGCTGCTGATGCTGGCTGTGATGATGCTGGAAATGAGGGTGATGAGGGTGGTGCTGTGAGAGAGGCCCGATCTGAGGAGAGAAGCTGCCTCCAAAGCCAGGGCTGACATGATGGGGAAAATTTTGAAACAACAGAGCACCGTTATTAGCCGAAGCGGCAGGGACCCCACCCTGGTGAAAGAAACTTGCATCTTCATTGATTATTGTAGAGGAAGAAGGCGCTATCGCTGCTGACCAGTTACTGAAACCAGTAAGAGACGATGCACTAGATGTCAAGGGTTGGGTCGAAGTACCTAGCCCGGTGGCTTCTTGATAATCAAATCCTGTCAAGACTGGAGATTCGATTCTTATTTTCTCCTTCCCATTGCCGTTTTCTGAAGAATTGTCCCCTTGATTTTCTTCTGATTTTGCCTTCTCGGTTTCAGGCAGTATCCCAGCTTCCTGACCGGGACTTGGGGAAAGCTGCTGCTTTTCTAAGGGGTCTTGCTGTTCCTGTTGCTGACTTTTTGCTTTTTCTGACCCCAAGATTTCATCCTGAATGTTATGTGTAGCTGGAGCAGGAAAGAGCCAAGCTGACCCAGCACTGCTGCCATTGGCAGCTGTGTTATTATTTATAAAAGCAGCAGGGCTGGGGGTGGCATTTTGGTGATGGTGAGGAGGCTGCAGATGTGGATGGAATCTGACTGGAAAAGCAGATTTATTCCCAGTATTGCTTTGCACTAGCACTCCAAACCCGTAATCCCCCATTTATTATTTTTAGGATCAGAATCTCACAATAAAAAATGATAACCTGATGCCTCAACGCCTTTTTTCCCTCTACTCAAAAGTTGTTTGTTTGCTTGAAATGTCTATTTATAGCTAGCTCAAAGATCGCAGCTTATCACTCTAAATTGTACTGATGTGGAATTCTGGTCTCTGAAAGAAAAAAAACACAACTAAAAAAATCTCTTAAAACATTGACATGGATCCAATTGGGCTTATTTCTATGAGGCAATAAAAATGAAGAGGGTAAAAATCAAGTCTTTGGTTAGTAAAATAGGCGCTTTCTTTTTCCAAAGGAAAATGTACATGAATGACAAAAACACAGCTTCTCAAGCATCTATGGATGTAGAAGAATAAGCATTGCGCAGAGTAAAAATATATATATATATATAATTTAACAATCACATATGGTCTTCCTTAGCAGTTTAGATTCACTCACATAAAAATTAGAATAGAGCTAAGGGGAGAATATGTTCTTTTCTTGGCAGCTTGGTTAAAAAAATCAGGAATAATTTAAGAACATTATATATTATATATTTATATATATAGATTATATTAGGTTATCTGGGGTGGGAGGTGAATTCCTAATTCCTGGTTGCGGGAGAGGAAATCAGCACTGACTAATGGAAAGATGATTGCAGGGAGGTTTTTGCTGTTCCTGGTCCTGTTTCTGCTCTTTCGCAGGGTGCAGTTTTGGCCTCTGGGGCTGTTCCTGAGGCTCCGGGTGCAGATCTTGCCGTGGTCGCTGTTCCTGGGCTCCCCCCGGCTTCCTCTCCCCCATGAAAGGGGTTGGAAACACCCGTTTCTCCCTCTTGGGGGTGGGGGGAGGTCGCGATCAGGAAAGATTAGCGAGACTCAACAAGGGCGAGCTGACGGCCCGGGGGTGCGGGGACCAAGGGGGCGACCTGGAAGGTCCTGCGGTTTCTGCCTCTTCCCCTCTCTGCGGCTCCGGGGTTTTTTTCCCTCATGGGACCCAGAGGAGGTTTGTTCAGTTCTCTCAGTTCGATTCTCCGCAGGGGGTGAGGGGTGAAAAAACGGGGAAAAAGGGAAAAACCCACGACCGTAGTTATTCTAAAGGAGAAGGGCCTCCCCCCTTGGCGCGCTCTCTCTCTTTTTCCCCAGATTTTTTAAAAACTATAATTTAGAAGGCTTTTGTTTCTCCTCACGGTTGCTGGGCCGTCGCTGCCGCCGCCGCTGCCTTGACCCGGTCCCGCAGTCCCGGCTGTCGTTGTTGCGGACTCCGCCTGGCTCTTCTTTTTCTTTCCTTCTTCCTCCTCTTCCTTCTCTGCTGTCGCCGCTGCCGCTGCCGCTGCCGCCGCCGCCGCCGCCGCCGCCACCTCCCGGTGCCCGGGTCCCGTAGCCGCGGCTGAGTCCTTCTCCTCAGGACCGAGCCGAGTGAAATGACAACCAGCTGGAAAGACCAAGAGACACTTCCGGTTCGAAGAGGGAGGGGTGGGGTAGCACGTACACCCCACCCACCTGCCAAAAGCCCAATCATCTGTTAGAACTCAGACAAGACCACGCCCCCTAGGCTCAGGGGCCCTCCCAGGAAGGTCGAAAAGTTACCTTGAGATACGCCCCTTCCGTCTGCGCCTCGCCCAGCGAGTGAGGCCCGGAGCTTGGAACCCTCTCCCCCGACCCAGGCTGAGCGCAGCAGGTCGCCATGTTTTGTGTGGGCAAAGGAGCCCTTCGCTATTTATCTTCCTCACCCGGTCTTTGCAGGAGGAGCAATGGGGGACGCGCCAAAAAGAACGGATTCCTCGAGCACTGCAGGTTAGAATCAAGGTGTTGGTGGTCAAAGTGGTGACCCATGAAACCGTAGATGAGCGAGGAGACTGCCCACAGTAAAGGTGGTGCCCCAGGCGTCACGTGCTCTGGCCCGAGCTCCGCCCCAGAGGGATCTGGAAGGGGAGGCGGGTCTTCCTAGCAGCTGTGCGGTGCCTAGAACTGCGCATACCCTTGTCCGGAATGTAGACTTGGCAAGGGACTCTCCCTTCACCTTCCATTCACCCACCCGCACCCCGACTCCTCTGGCCTGTCTTAGGCTCGCATCTGAAGCGGTCCCCCAGGCATAGAGGTGCAGCTGCTGCCGGCGTCCGTGGCTAAGCCCCGCCGCATTCCATTCTAGTCCACCTTACACATTTCCAAAGCTAAAGTCTCACCTGGGTGCTCCCCTCCTCCGATCTCTTCTATGGCTGCTCATTCCCTCGAGGATAAAGGCCAAACTCCTTAGCCTGATAGTGAAGCCTTTCCACCTTGTGGGCAATATACCTTAACGCCTCATCTCCCTCCGAACACACTCTCAGTGCTTGTTTACATGCCCTTTCCCCTCTTCTCCACTTGGTAAACTCCTGTTTGGTTTTAGGAAACAATTCAAAAGCTACCAACAGGGTCTTCTGAATTCTCTCAAGCGTCCACAGCCCTGTGTACCTCTCGTGCTTATTATCACACTATATTGGAATAGTTGTTTGTGTCTCCCAGACCTGTGCTCGGCTGTAGGCTCACTGAGGAGCGGACATCGTAGCTACGAGGCATCAGTGAATGGATCCTGAAAACATGAAGGAACAAACAGACAAAAACCATTTTTCCTGACTGCCCCTCTCACTAGTGCCTTGTAGATTCCTCTCTTTTAATTACTACTGGTTGTCAGCAGGTTAGTTTCTTGAGGGCAAAGGCTGTGTCTGATTTATCTTTATGTCTCCAGTGGCCAGCAGAGGGTCTGGCACAGAGCACACTCAGGACATGTTTATAGAATGAACAAATGGATGTTCTGTGCCCAGTAGATTGTCGAGGGTGTCTTGGAGCTACCAATTCTTCTCAAGGGCTAAAATGGCCATGACTTGGAGGAAAGATCATCCTTTGGAACCAAACAGCCATGAATTTGAACCCCAGCTCTGCTACATCCTAGTTGTGCAGCCCTGGGCATCACCTGTATGAGCCCTGGGTTCCTCATAGATAAAATATAGATGATATTTCCTCCCTTGCTAGATTTGCAAATTACATAAGATACATGTGAAGTTCTGGGCTCATAAGAGGTGTTCAAAAATGTCAGTTCCTTTTTAACATATTAAGTATAGAGAACTAGTTCACAAGTGTCTTTTGCCTAGAAGCTGCTGCATGCACAAGGGAATCTAGGAACATGTCTTGGTTTGTGGAAGGAGGAGGCACACCCAGGGCCACAATCAGATGCTGCCGGGGCAGTCTGATATTTTCAGGCTAAATCAAGTGTGGGCTGTAGGTTGGGCTGGGATGAAGCAAGCAAGGATGACTATTGGAGACATCTATCAGGCTTCTGCTTAGGGACTGGAAGAATGGGAGAGGGAAGGGGAAATCAATTCTCTTGGGTCAACTGCCTACTCAGAAACCCAGGATACCCAGCTAGGGCTCTCCTCCTTAAAAACATTCTGGCTTCAGAAGCTGTCCCATGGTAACCATGACAACAATTCAGTAGCTCCATTTAGGATCTCCAAAGGGATCTACAGTTGCGGATGAGTGCTGGCTTGAACATTCTGCTGGCAGAAGCGAGCCCTTCTCATGTAGCATGCTCAGCAGGAGGCTTTGGGTTGCACGGAAAGCAAGCTCTGCCTGAACATTAAGGTGCTACCAAATTAAAAAAAAAAAAAGAAAAGGCTCCCTCCCTGTCCAGTGCAGTGAGGGCTGACACACCTTCAGAGATGTTATAGGCTGGGAAATGCTTGCACCCTGCTGGCTACTGCCCATCCCCCTCTGGGGTTTCAGCTCAACCACACCCAGAACCTAGAACCTCCCAGGAAGCAGGGCATTAATATCGCCTTCACCGGCCTCTTTTAAAGCTTGGCAGGCAATATAAATCTCATCCCATAATCACACAGGGTGAACTCTGCCCCACTCCAGCTCTAGTGTCCTCCACCACTGCCCTTGAAACATACATTGTCAGCCTTCTCCCAATAGCCCACACTCAAGCTCCCCACGGGCCTGTGTAATGACTGGCAACCAGTACCATCACCCAAGCTGGCCAGGTTGCGCTCTGTGCAGCTCCATGAAGAACCACAGACTGGTGTGTGACTGCTGCCCACTGTATTTGTACAATGCAGCAGCCCTGTTTCAGTTCATTTCCATAAGACACAGGGGCACAGTATACAAATGTGACACTCATACAAAAAAAGCCACCAGCTACTGCTGTAAATTACATGAGCATGTGCTTATTGCATGCAGAAATATTTAAAGCAGTTGATCCTTTTAGAATTAGCAGCCCAGGAGTGTTCTGTAATTGAATTGAAGGACATTGTGTACTTGGTGTTGGTTTTGATTAGTGAGCTGTACTGAAAAGACAAGTCTGGGCAAGTATATGGTCCAGTCCTTCAAGAGATTGATACTCAGCAGTTACTTTACCTGACAACATTAATAAGCATTCGAACGTAATAGTGGAATACATATTTTAATGAAACTAACAAATGATAATAATATGCAAAGGCAGGTCCTGTGAAGGCAGGGGAAGAGAGAAAGGTGAAATTACTTTAGGAATATCCTTTTCTCCAAATGTACCTGGAAGCTCACTGCCATAAGGCTAGCTGGATGGAAACAAAATCAAGTTGCAAAAGCAGGTTTTATTAAACCCCACCCTGTTTCAATATTGGAAAGTGTGCATGTTTGCTTAGAAAGCACCATTATTTTTTTACAACTAATGCTGGGTTGCATTTTCTCCTTTTGTTTGTTGCTTTGCAAACTTGTGCAAGCCCTCTGCATTTTAAACGCTATTTTCCTCCTGCTTTCCCATTTGAGATATTACCATTAACGTGGAGTGGATAGTTGACAAGCTATTTTGGTGGGGAGTCGTGAAGCCAGTTTCTCCAATGCATTTATTGAATAAATGGTTTGGAAAGGTCCAGGACACAGACATGCTTCACTTGAAATGGCTGTATCCTGGCAAAGATTTAGGTGATCTGGAACGGGGAGGTGGTGAGGGGCGGGTTGACCTTCCAAACTGTGACGTGCATCATGTTGGGATGACTTGGATTCTTTTGTGGCTCCAGTGACCCATGTAGATGGGCTGCTGACCTAGATTATCCTTTGCTGTTTTGATTGGACACACTTCACTTCCTGTATCAAAGCTGTGGCCATGTCGCTGAACAGCTGCCATCTCACACTCTGTGGCTAGGCTGGAGGATTTTTACCTGCAATACTGGGAAAAGAATAACTTCAAAGATTGCAGGGAAGCTGTAGAGTCCAGAAGTCAGAGAGCTGGGAGTCAGAGATCGCAATTCTAGCCCCAACATAGTCATAAACTCACAGGCATTGGTCCAGTTTGTGTGATGATTTCCTTATGGCCAGAATTTTTACTATAAAGAGTTTCAATTCTAAACTCTTAAACAAAAAAAA